TTAGACAATAAAATCTTAATCACAGCACCTCTTGGCAAAAATCTCCGCTTCATACTGAACGAGATAACCCCTGGATATTTAGCAACGATGGAAGATTCACATCCTAATTTGTTGACCAAAAAATCCATCACTGCATCGATCTTATCTTTTGATGCCTTCATGATGAATGGATACTTCCTAAATGCTGCAAGAATGTCATCCTCCGACCAACCCCACTTCTTATAAACATCAACTTTTTTTCCCCAAGTGGATTTGCTTGCTGATGCCAATACAGAAACGGCCAAAACAAAGTTTACCTGCCCAGGATTAACACCCAGTTCCTTCACTTCCTTCACAATCTCCTCAAATCGAACACAACTTTTGGTTATTACCGAAGGAAAATATTGTAACAGTTTTATGACATTTGATTCAGGAACTCCTGCTTCTCTTAACAACTTCATATTAGGCATGGAACGGCTGTTTAAATCAAGAAGAATACCCGAGAAATTTGTGACAACTTGAATGAGTTTGGCGTCAGATTGAAACAAATCTCGAAAGAAATGAAAGGAAGGAATGATCTGCTTACTTAAGCTTCTCACCATGATGCTAGGGCAACTACATAGGAGCTTAGGGATGTCTGAGATCGAAACGCCATTGGATACAAGAAACTCAATCTTGGGCACTAAGGTTTTCTGAGGATCTGATCGAAGAAGTCTTGGGAGCTCTCTAACAAAACGATGAATCTGGGGTTTAGTGAGTCCTTGACTCTTGAAGAAATTGATAACCAAATCTGGCTTATCTCGCGATTCGAAGCTGACGAGCTTAGAAACTGAAGCAGCTTCTTGTGGTGAGAAGCCACATGTGTCAATGAGATACGAGACAGTGAAAGAATGCCTATTTGATGCGACTGAATTACAGTACCTCGCAGATAACCATTGGCGTTGAAAAAAAAGCAATTCCGGAAGTATAGTCTCCGGAGAAATTGTGCTGAAAACAATAAGCCTTCGGAAAGGGATTGTTTTGCGGAGAAAACAAAACATTGATTGCAGAAAGCTAAAGCACAGGAGAATAGAAGAGGGGAGGAACCCTCCGGTTGATGAAGATAATCTTTGCTTTGCCTGGGAGCTGGGTAAGTTCCGTGCCACGGCGATGGGCTCATTTTTTAAAATTAAACTACGAGAACATGAGCCGAAGGAGGGGCGCTTCAATGATGGCAAATAATAATAATAATAATAATAATAATAATAATAATAATGGAGTAGTATTATATTTTCTAAAATATAAAAAGATTACCTTAAATATATATATATATACACACACATAAATATTAGACACAAAGTAGTTGAAATTTTATATTTAAGACCAAAATAAAAATCAAACAAGGTCTTATATTAAAGGCAAGAGGTAATATGTTGAAAGAAATAAAAAAAATCCTTTTATTTTATTTAAATTAAATACATAATTATAATGGTTGAAGCATATAACAATTTTCAATTTTATTTTAAGCATTTTTTATTTTTTATTGAAGAAATAGACTTTATGAATGTATACACACCAAGGGATATAATACAACTTCATATCTTTAATATAAAAACTAGATAATTAATTTAAAAATATTAAAATTTTTTAATTAAGTTAGTTATTTGTCACAAATATATATTGGTTTTCTTAAATTATTCTCTTCAATCACGTGTATTGAATGATTAGAATTATTTTTTTGATGGGAATCTGAATCTAACAATCAATAAAAATACTTTTTATAAAAAATAAAAAACAAAATAAATTAAAATATTATATTTAAAATCAATCAATCTAACTATAAACTATTTCTATAAAGTACTGGTTTTATAAATGAATACACGAATCATTTTGCTGATCACATATTTTTTATTTTTTTGAATCAGCGACTGTGGTTTTTGCTATTGAGGGTGTGGTGTTTGACTAATAATTTTATACAACTAAGCTACTTTTGTCTGCGTTGTTATTTTCCTTACCTTGTTCCTGTCTTCCTGAACTCCCCCTCCCTCCTACCAAATATTGCCTTAATTCCACCAAAACAATTCATAATTATCTTAACAGAATCAATAACAATAGTTTTGAAACTCTATTTTGATCCATTTTTTATTTTAAAAAAAACATTTCAAGTTTACAACAAAAATTGTTTTCTGACAACAAATCATATTTAACAAAATTGTCACTTGTCAAGTAGGATTAACAAATGATGCTCGTGAAAGAAATAAGGAATAAAAATGGGCAATTTATCAATCATTAATTAACATTGCTTTTCAAATTTATATTGCCTTCGGTATCTAGTTTGTAATATAAATAACATTTTGTCTTATAATTTTAATCAAACCCCCTTTCCTTACTTTCCTCCACATTCATTTTAATCGACCAGGATTTTTAGCCAGTGCCATGGGAAACAGTTATAACAATCTGATGGCATTTGATTCAGGAACTCCGACTTCTTTTAGTAACTTCATATTAGGCACGGCATGTGTGTTAATATCAAGAAGAATTCCCGAGCAATATTTAAGAGCTTTGAAAAATTTGTCATCTGATTGAAACAAGGGAAAATTTCAATCAAAGACCATTGCAGCAAATTTATTTCAAATAGCTCCCAAAACAATCTAAAACTTCACTATAGGACTGAGAGAGAAAATGAAATTAACTGGATAAAAAAAAAAACACAAATGTCCTTGTTAACTGTTGCTCCTAAATTGAACAAAAGAGGACTGAAAATTAGGAAAAGCTTTCATCCTGTTATTTCCTTTTTCACAATGAAATCTCTCTCACATGCTCTTCCTTTTCGCATCTCAGACTTGCCACTTGTCTACTAGTTGTGGTACTATGAAAGGTTACAGAAGTCGTCCAAAGGAGATTCATTATTGTCTATTGTGCTGGGTCTCTCACTCTCAAAACTGGCATATAGATATGTTATTAGGCTTAAATGGATATATTATTTTTCAAATATGAAAAGTTTTTGTTCTATAAGATACTTGATTGTTGCTTGTTATAGTAATAGTGGGTATTTTGTCTAGTATATTTGTTACTCTAAGAATCCTGTTGTTTGAATGGGTGCTATGAAAGCTAAATCTACAGAGAAATGAGAATTTGATATTGCTAAAATATTAGAGCATATTCTCATTTTTTCTCCAGTCTTCTCTGTTCTTCTTTCGAAAACTGGATGTGGGGTCCTGATGTAGAGTAAGTGATAGACACTTCTTGTTTGATCTCCTCGTCATTACTCAGAAATAAAGTTCCATCATATTCCTTCTCCTTATACCTACTTTGTTTCTTCCCTTTCTCTTTATCCGACTTTGGTTTCAGGGCTTCCCTATATGTCTTAGTTGGCCCATTCACCTCCCCCTTTTCTCCTTCATCGAATTCCATCCAGTCCTCTTGATGTGGTTATAGTGAGACTTCACTTGAGAATACCTTTTATGAAAGATTGAAGGGTTCGACCTCATTCCTTCCCTGATAATTGTTTCTGTGAAAAAATGTCAATGCCATTCGTTGACCAAAATGGATTGGATGCTAATGAAAGCATCTGGAACTATCTGACAGAACCCCACATACACACACACATATCCGTTCACCATTGATCCTTCCTCTTACCATAGAACCATTCAATCTCATCCCAGTAGTTACTTATGCATCACGCATCATAGCTGCCTTGTGCATCAAACTACTTTTACCATGGACCAACCCCCTATTCTGTGTTCCCCATTCACAAAACCCCACGATTCGTGAAAAACTCTCCTTGGAATTCATATGAGCCCCTATTCTTAATGTCTAGTTGCTTGGGTCAGTTTTTAAACTACTTCTTCAATCTTAAATATAAAACTCTTTTTACAGTGTAAATTACACTATAAAAAGGATTTTATATTTATGGCTGGAGGAATATATATCAAGTCATTGAGCTTGAAACCATAATCCTTTACATAAATTATCGATAAAATTTTCATAATCTTCACATATTAGGCAGAAGAAAAAATCACCTTGAGAGCCAACAAAACTTCCCAACTGATCTGCTAAATTGAGAGCCTTCCAAATAATAATTTTAAGAGAAGAATTATGGAAAAATTAAAAAAAAATACCATCGGATCTGAATTTAAAAACTACATAGCTAATTTAAGTATATTAAAAAAACTACTTAAATTAATTATTTTTAATAAATATGAGTTAATTTTTTTAAAGTATCTTTTTAATTATGACTATTCTTGAGTGAAAATATTTTGACAGGTAATTAACGAAAATATTTTAAAAAATAAGTTACAAATTTATAAGACAAAATGAAGGAGAGTTTTATATCTAAAATTAAATTTAATTAGTTTTTATGTTGAGTATAGTAGACAATAACTATTGCAAATCTCACACGTAGGGGTGAGTATTCGATTTGTCGATTTGGTTATCAATGATAACCGAATTAACCGAATAACCGAATAGAGCAAATTTTAAACATTAAACCGAAACCGATAATTGAACTAACTAAAACCGAATTAACCGAACTATTTTGGTTCGGTTAACCGATTAACCGAAATATATAAATATGAAAGTGATTTTAAATTAATAATAATAAAACACAATTACAACCATTAATTAATAAATATTTCATTATTTAATGTGATTTATTACGACAATATTTATTATAACAATATTTATTGAATATAAATATATTTAAAGAGTTCACATAAACCCACATATATATATATTAATTATAATAATATTTATTAAATATAAATATATAATATATTTATTTCGGTTTTTCAGTTATAACTGAATTCTTTTTCTACTAAACGAACCGAACACTGAAACTGAATTATTATAAAAATAAAAATCGAATATATAACCAAAAACTAAAATAACTGAACTGAAAAACTGAAATTAAATTCTGTTCGGTTCGGTTTTCAGTTTCAGTTCGGTTTTGTTCACTACCATCCATACGTGACTCCCTCCGCTCACCGTCAAAGAATCACCATGCCACGCGTAGCATTCGCATGTAAGAGCCAGGAGGGACAGTTGTCCTTTGTGTTGCAAGAACTCAGTGTAGTGTCAGCGACCAAGGTGCGTCCAAACACTCACTGGTAGAGCAAGAATTTGGTGTTTGTTCGGTTAATTGGACTCACGATTTCCCGAAGACAGCAAGAGAAGCAATCCAATGCTAGCATCAACCGCAAGCTCTCACTATGGGAAACCACTTCTCAAGCTTCAATCAGACCCCAATCTGGTGGTTTCACTACGTTCTTCAAGAACTAGCTCACATCTCGCGTCGTTCTTTCCTCCCGACAATTCCTGCATTCAATTCACACTACAACGAAAATTTCGCCCGCAGTCACTGTTAAACCAATCTGTTGGTGTTCCGCCCACCAATCTAGCTGCATTATCGGCAATCTCCAAAACTTCTCGGTTAAGCTATTTCTCTCCTCTTCGTTGCGGCGTTTCATCGAGTGGGTATAGCGCAAATGGTGGTCGGAGTTTTCGGGATTGGGTGGAGCTCGCCGGAGAGGTCCTCTCCACGGCGTTTCCCTTGTGGGTTACAATTGGGTGCGCATTGGGATTGGTCAAACCTAGTTCCTTCGACTGGGTCACGCCCAAACTTAGCATTCTTGGTCTAACCACGATCATGCTTGGCATGGGTATGACGCTTACTCTTGATGATCTTCGTGGAGCTCTTGCTATGCCTAAGGAAGTACTCTCTGGATTCGTGCTTCAGTATTCGGTTAGTATACTTACGTAGAAGCTATAATAGTCGATCCTTGGTTGCCTGCCAGTGCCTTGATTGACAAGATTTTTATCAATGTGAATTATTCATGATGAATGCTTTCCCCTTATTTAGCTTTATTGTTGATGATGGGGATTTTAATTTACCAAAGAAACACAAAATTGACTTTCATTGTGTTTAATGAAGAGCTGTACCAACTGCAGTGCATCTAAACTCTTTTTCTCCATTTCCTCCATGAGTCCCTTATCTATTTTTAGGATATTGTCGGACAGCCAAATCATTGTATTATCACATTTGGTATGTATTTTTGTTTTTTGTTTTTTTTAAATTTTGAAGGTTGTAACTATGGGTATTGGATTTGGAACCCCTGTTTGATGGTCCTATTGAAGTTAAGCATTTTCCCATTATTATGCATTGTTAGCAGAAGAGACAGACCATTTTTGCATGAAACTGAACCAACAATTATGGCCACCCTTCAATGAGTTAATCTGTGCTTAGCAGTTATTAGCATTTGATAAATTCAATTAAGTTCATGGAGATTACTCATTAGATAGAACCATATGCCATTAATCGGGTATTGTACAATGTTCTCTGATGGCTTCACATATGCTGGGTCGACTAAATGCTACTGCAATGACTCATGTTACTTAGGGCTACTTCCAAAACGTTGACATGCTCAAAGGTTTTGAACTTTCCTGAGGCACTATTTTATGCTACTAAACTCGTCCAAGGTGCTGGCACAATCTTCAATTAAAGCAGTGGAATAGACCAATTTTTGGATGATGCAGAAATGATGTTAATGCATCAATAGCCCAAGGGACTCAAGCCAACTATCTATTTCGAATCTTAGTATACTTTTAAAGGGCTGAAATCCCACATTCTTTAATTTATGAGAAGATTTCTGTGTTCTTCTATCCTCAGTGATCGTGATTACACAAAAAAGGCATTATATCTTGGCTGTATCTTGGTTCTATACTTGTTTCATACCCTAAACTATTTAACTTTTGTCTTTACCAAGTGGTTCTTACCACAAGCAATCTTACTTGCATAGTTTGTTGCATTTGATTCTATGGATAAGAAGTCAACTCCTTGGAAATTGAGCTTTCGTGTGTTTATCATGCTAGAGGGGGAAGCTTCACATTCTTTTTGCTTAGATGATACCAATGATATGTAGTCACTTCCACCTATGATATGCATTTGAGGATGCATTTCTTTTTCTTCTCAATATATTGGCACACTGAACCTTTTTTCCATCGTGATTCATCCTTGTTTGTGTCAAAATTTTTATTTTACACCTTTGTAGTTTACTTTCATCCAATATGACTGTTATCTTACTTTGACAGAATGTTATATCTGACAATTTTCAGGTTATGCCAATATCTGGATTTCTTGTAAGCAAACTCTTAAATCTGCCATCACATTATGCAGCTGGTTTAATATTGGTTGGGTGCTGTCCCGGTGGTATGTGCATTATCTTGGTCGTTTATATTTGAATTCCCTCGTCCGCCTGTTCAAAGTAATTTCTCATTGTTTGCAGGTACGGCTAGTAACATTGTTACTTATCTTGCACGGTACATTGGTTCTCAGAATTTTCTGACAGTTCATTCTTAATGCATGCCGAGAGGATTAGTAGATCTAATGATCTATTTGTTTTGCTAGAGGCAATGTGGCGCTTTCTGTTGTAATGACAGCTGCAAGCACTTTTGCCTCTGTGGTATAATGATTTCTGTTTTAATTTTGATTCTTGGTTTGAAGGTTGACAGGAATGTGCTATCTTAAACCTTTTGCATGTAAAGGCATAAGAATTAAGTATTATCATACTGACTTGACATGTTTGATATGATACAAATTTGACATGTTCTGTCTTTAACTGAATAGTATAACATAAAAAAATTGTCACAAGTAAGGAAAAAATCATCAAGGAAAAGATCTTACATGAAGCTTTATGGGTATATTATCACTGGGACTACTTTATGTGCAATACATATGCTAACTTCTCATGCGCAATTCTGTTGTTGCAGTAGGGAAAATGGGCTTGTTATCTTTTAGATTTAGTGTATGCTAAAGGTTTCCATTAAAGCTTATTTTCTGTTTTCTGACATCCACCAATTTTTTTTTTGGGTTTGAGGTCATGACTCCTTTTCTGACAGCAAAACTAGCTGGTAAATATGTAGCTGTGAATGCAGCTGACTTGCTGCTATCAACTTTGCAGGTAACATTGCATATCAAAATTTTCCTATTTCTATATCTGCTTTAATGCCTTTTCTTTTTGTTCTTTTTTGAAATATTTACATGACGAGGATTTGAATCCTGGTCACTACCACATCCCGTTTCACCCTTAATAACTGAGCTAGTCTCAAAGTGACTTCTGCTTAGGTGCTTTTATCATTGTCTCTCTTATTTCAAACAGGTTGTGCTCCTACCTGTTCTGGCTGGTGCTTTTTTGAATCAGTTTTTCCAACCTATTGTTAAATTTTTCAACCCATTGATGCCACCAGTTGCTGTAGCAACCGTGGCAATTTTATGTGGACGTGCCATTGCCCAGAGTTCTTCAGCAATCCTCATGTCTGGAGGACAAGTAATTCTGGCTTCCTGTCTTCTTCATGCTTTTGGGTTTTCATTCGGTTACATACTTGCAAGGATGCTGGGAATAGATGTGTCTTCATCACGAACAATTTCCATTGAGGTTGGCATGCAGGTAAAATATTTGGCCACTAGAATACTCTAGTAATCAATAGTTAGTAAGGTGTCTTGGATTCAAATTTTCCTTCTGTCTTGAACCAGAAAAATAGAAATCAAAACTTGCCCCTTATGGTTGCGCCCAAAATCAATTAATTACTAATTAGTCACTTAACCAATCAGTGGTATTTTACGTCTGAAATCAATGAAAAATAATGACATGAATGTTAAAATGATGAACATTTCGTCATAAAATGTCTGGTTCACTGGTAATATTTTCATTGTTCTGAAACTATACCAGGATATTTTGAAAAGACCAAGACTATACAGCTGTTGAGATTATAATTAATGATATTGTTATTTCAGTTTAAATCAATGCATCAATATATTTTAATATATGAAACAAAACTTATCGATTGCATACTCTTCTTTAAGTTATGAATAGTGCGACTCATTTCTCAAACTCCTGCATTGCACCAAAAAACAAGGATTTTATGTGTGATAAAACTTTGACTAGGCCTATAATCAATAGACCACAAGTATTGCTACTCATTTATAATATTCTGTGTGATACATTAGCAAATGCGTTTGGTGAGATAAAAAGACTAGAGGTTGATTATAGGGTAATGAAACATACTAGTATCACATATGCAAGTTGAATGGGCAATTGAGCACTTGTGGACGTTAACTAATATGCCTATTTTTTGTGGCTTGTCACGTTCAGAACTCAGTGCTTGGAGTTGTGTTGGCTACAAAGCATTTTGGGGATCCGCTGACAACAGTACCATGTGCAGTTTCCAGTGTATGTCATTCAATCTTTGGGAGCGCATTGGCAGGAATTTGGAGACGCTCCGTACCCTGAGTGAAGAATTTTGTATGTAGTTAGTTGTTGAATTTATGCATTAACTTGTTCATATGGTTGGGGCTGTTTCAAAGATGTACGTTATACTTTTCAATCGTCAGTTAGAATTGCAGCTAGGTTGTTTAATTACCTTTCAGTTCAGATTGAATTATGCTTGCCTGCTATCAGCATGGATAGATGGAGTTTGGACATAATAATTTAGGTGATAAATCTAAGCTTAAACCTGTGAGCACATTTTCACAATGAAAAGAGGTTATATAGTCATATATTACCTCTAGTTATTAGCATAAGAGCTAGTTAAAGATTGAATTTAGTCCTAAATATAAAAGTTCAATCCATTGTCTTTCAAATTTATATTGTTTTCTCTAAAATATTCTTATTGATTGTAAAGGATTCATACTAAAAAATTACTCCAATGTATATGATTAAATATGGTAATTTAAGAAAGTTTACATACATTTGTTATAATTAACTAACTTAGCTAATTTTCTTAATTTTACCAAATTAATTATTCAGTTTTTATATTAAAAATTGGAGATAGTATAAAGTAATGTCTTATTATGGTCAGTCGGTCACGTCCTTGAAGCATCTGAAGATACTTTTTTGGAAGAACATGACATCTGAAGGTATAATAACCCCCATTAGGTGAAAGAAAGTATTAGTTCACGGAAACTTTATGCATTTAGAAGTATGTTGCTTTAAATGAGAATGTTAGTTTCAATAACCAAGCTAGTATTGGTTCATCAAGCACTATGAAATTTTGTTTCTTCATTTAGAAGTTATGTCATTTCAAGAGACATCATTTCATTGTCTGTAAAATGTCTCGAGAATTCATTTCAACACAAATTTATTGTATTTGCCTTTAAGTGCACAAAAGATAAAAACAAACCATCACTTATTTCTTGATAATGTAAATCATACTGAAGAGTTTGATTGTATTTTGAAAGGAATCTGTGATATTAACCCAACTTGCACCTAAGATTTGAATTAGACAGGAATGAGTTAATGTCTCCCAAGCCTTTGGGCCTTTTTTTTAAAAAAAAACTCAGCAAAGAAAAAACCATTGCCACCCACAAATTTCAACCGAAGAAGAAGGTTTACATTGCTAAATGCTAATTACCAAAACCATCTAGTTTTGTGTTAATTTCATATGGGAAGGTTGCTTTTAACGGTGGTTGAATTATAAAAAGTCCACTATTATTATTACTGACCAACTTTAATTGTTAAAAGGTTTCATTATTTTAATTTTAATTTTTTTCTCATGTTAGAGCTATAAAAATTTTTAAGTAATATTTATTTCCATTGTAATTTTTTTTTTCACAATTAAAATTAACAAATAGGCTATTACTTTAATTACCCACGCACAACGATTCCTGGTGGACAGTGACTCAGTGAGCATACGCGATTTGTGTGGCCTAGCATTATTTTAAAGTTGAATTCTTAAATGCTTAAGGAATAAATAAAACAAGTTGGCAGAAAAAGAACAATGATTTTACATAGTTTCCAACGCAAATTTATAAAAGTTATTGTAAATTGTAATCGAATGACTGATCAAATAAAAATTTAATAATATCTCATTTGTCGTGGTTTTCTTTCTTAAAAAACATTTTTATTTTGTCATGGTTAAATGATATAATTAAAAATTTTAATTTATCTAAGGGTGTGTTTGGATGACTTCAAACCGTGGTTTGGAAAAGTGATTCTGGAGAATAGATTCTGTGGAGAATAGATTCTGAGAAAAAGTGATTCTGAGAAGTGAGAGTGTTTGGATAGTTATTACCAGAAATGCTTTTGACATGTGGAAATGACCAAAAAGGGTATAAGTTAATATGATAATTATATAATGGATAGATTTTATGATTTATTTTGATTTGAAGAAATAAAATTGTTAATGAAATAATTTTTACTAACATAATTAATAATATATAAGATAATATAATTAATACATAATTAATATGTGTACATATATTTATAAAACATAATATTAAATATGTTTATAGAAAAATGATTTTTTTATAACAGAAAAATATTAATTTTGTTTAAAGATTGTAAACGTGAAATCCCATAACATTTTTTCATAACTACTTTTTGTAATAACATACTACATGTATAATAACCTCTGATGTTTAATACAATTAATTAATTAATTGTCACCACACATATATATTCATAAAATATAAGAGTGAAAAATATTTTTAGAGAAGATGAATTATTTTGTTGCAAAATAGAATAAACACGTCTTAAAATAATTTATTAATTATTCAAGTAAGTAATAATTAGCTTGAGAATATAAGGCATAATATTAATAAGAGAAATATAAATAAAGAAGTGTCATAATCATTAAGATGATGCATCGATACAAAGCATTTGTAATAGGTTTTGTTTTTAACTACATATTACAATCTATGATAAAAGGAAATAAATAAGACATGACTACTATCCTCGTATTGAATTAACAAGTTCGTCTCTTATGCTGTCACGAACCTGAGCCATGTAAGATGAAGATTGAATTGATGAATGTATACGTGAAAATCTAACCCCATCATCATCATCTTCTGCATAAGTACCTTCTTCTTCCAACTGAACGAATCCAGGATCAGTAATAGATGTCGTTCTAATAAAATTATGTATAGCCATCGTTGCACAAACGATTTTAACTTGTGTTTCAAAATCATAAGATGGCATATTTTGTAAGATTGCGAACTTTTTTTTCCAAACTCCGAAAGTTCTTTCAATTGTACTCCTTAAACTTGAATGGAAATAATTAAAGATTTCATTGTCATTTTCAAACCCAGATGTCCTTCGAAAATCAGGCAAATGGTAACGCTCCCGTCTGTATGGGCCGAGATATCCATTCGGTGTTGGGTATCCAGCATCCACCAAATAATATTTTCCTATATAAAAAATGAAATTATTGTAAATTATGTTTCTATTGTTAAGCTAAATATAAAAAAAAATATAGGAAATAAAAAAATACCTTCAGGTGGATGGGGAAAGTTCATTGAAGGAGTTGTGAGGGCATGATCAAATATCCGAGCATCATGTGCGCTACCTTCCCATCCGGCCAAGACAAAAGTAAAACACATGTCCCAATCACAAACCGCCATGACATTTTGTGACACTGTTCCTTTCCTAGAGATAAATTTAGTTTGATCTGTTGCACTGACAACGCAGGAAACATGTGTGCCATCAATTGCTCCAATAGCATGTTTAAAAAAAGGCCAGTATTTACCAAACCGAATTTTTGTATGAACATGCCGGAATGTTGGATCTTTTGGTTTGATATTAGACATGGCAAGTCTACAGCATGCCATTAGGACATTATGAAAATGTCTGCTAATTGTCTCCCCTGAATGTTGAAATCTTTCTTGCTGCATTCTGCTACTAAGTGCATGCCCAACGGTATGTAAAAACATTGCAACTGATTCATGTATCCCTATATTTTTAGTTTCTTTTAGACCATGTTGTTGCAATTGTTCCACCAGACTTAAGAACACATCCCGTTCCATCCTAAACATGTTATAACAACGACTGGAGTTGCCATCTAAAACATCCCTTACCCATATGCAGCCTGTATAAGCACTTGTATGCCGAGGCTCCTTACACAAGTTCAAAGTAGCGTATGCACCAACCAATGCTGCAACTTTGTTAACTCTTTTTTTCCGTCCCTTAGCATGCTCTTCCACATGTTTAATTTCATCATCCATATTCGTTTTATCCTGTGCACATACACATAAAGTTTAGAATTCCTACGTAGAAATTACGAAACATTTATAAAAGTTACAGAGTTGTCTGATTCATATAACAATCCACTGGTCACATAAAACATACACATATGGAACTGTCTAATATAATAAACAAGTCATAAATCCCTAGTAAAATGCTCTAAAATGAGTAGAAGCTGTTCCTTCTGATCCTTCAGAGCTGCATACATTTCTCGTGCATCCTGCCGTTCCATAAGGAGTTGTGTGCACCGTCTAAAGAAATCAGGATCACTGACAACTTCAGGAACTGTTTTCAGGTGAGACAGGACTCCCCTAATTGAAACCTCATAAGCACGCGCTTCTTCTTCCAACCTTCTAGCTTCTGCTCGTGAAATGACCTCATTTCCACGCTCGGCCTCAGAAGTATTTGTTTCAGCAATCTTGCTAATTGCATCCGCTATTTTCATAGAGGGAGATGTGCGTTTCTTCTTGACTTCACTCTTCCTTCTGACCCCCAGTGAGCTACTAGGTCGACTCCTACCTCTGCTTGTACCCCCACCACTGGTATCCTGTCTCAATTCAGTGTTGCCTCCACTACCTCCACTATTATCATTGAAGTTCACTGTGTTAAATTCCCCACTTATACCAGTTGGTGCACCTAAAATTTCATCACTATCTCCGGACCCTTCTTCCAAATCTTCATTCGGTGTTCCTTCACTTGGAAGTGTCATGGAAGAAGGTGCCCATGCTTGTGGTCCAGTTGCAGCCACACTTCCAAATAGTTGCGTCAATTCATCCCTAAATTGAAGTCCTCTTTCTCTGAATTTTTCGTAGTTTGGAACTTCCTGCACATTAGACACCAATAATATCATAAAATATTCCAAAAACAGTAAATATACACAAAGCATTAACAAGTAGAGAAAATGTAAGATCAAAAGGTTCAATAATTACCCTTATTTTTCTCTCCCACCAATCATCAGTTGCACTGACAGTATTCCTTTCAGTATCCCATCCCAATCCTGTCTCACGAAGCAGCCTATCCCATGTCTGCCACTCCTTTCGTAGGGAATCATATTTATTCTTAAATTGACCTTTTTCATACTCTTCCAGTTTTGGCAGTAAAGTTATCACCAAGAATATCCCAAGCTTTCTTTGTTAAGCTAGTACCTTTTCTTTCCCCTTGTTGCACAAGTTCAATGCAGAGGTCAATAAACACTTTTGTGGTTCGTAGGTCCCAGGAAGCTTTCACCGTATTCTGACGCATTATGCTATAGCACAATTATAACTCTTCAGTCATCCCAGGTTAATCAACTCAAAATCAATTGAAATAACAAAAATCATATTGTCTACTGTAATAGGTGAAAAAGTTGATCACATTTTAAATCTCAATTCCTTCCTACCAAACCAAGTGTGACAAAAATTAACAAACACAAAAAATTTCTAATTTTACATGGTTGGAAAAAATACACCCCCTCCTTTCTAAACTTCATTATTTGTTTTTACTTCAAAATACTAAAAATTTTAAAACGTCCAAAATAACATGTTAATTAAATAACATTATAAAGCACATTATTGTTTTTACAAAATAACATGTTGCACAAGCCTTTCATAATATTTTTAAAAATTATATCCTTATCAGATTTGTCAACCGAAAATAAAAAAAACTACCAACATAAACCTCTGACCAAAATACAAATCACTTCCTTCAATATATATACATGGATTTCAGTTGTGATTTCATTTTTCCTCACTCTCAAAAGTTGGCCATAAATTTATCAAAATCCTTAATACAACAATACAGAACAATACAATTCTTATCTCATCCCAAATCAGATCAACTCTTAACAAATAATGTTCATTATCACAAGTACTATCCACGGCAAAAAAAAAAAAACCAAAGTCTCGACTTCACAGCTTCTTCTCCGGGGGAAATCTGGACTACAGCAGGAAAAACAAATTGCATTGAATTTATATAACAATTGCCAGACTTTCTCATCCATATACGTCCCCTGCCTCCAGAACCAGACATTGATTACCATAATTTGTTCCCTCTTTGTTTCATAAAATCAGAACCAATTTACCAAACGAACATACCATTTATAATCCCCAGCACATGAAGCTCAATTAAAGAAATCCAAAAACACCATAAACCCCGAAACAATCCATGGCAAAAACGAACAAGATCTTCGGCAATAACCATTGATCAAAATCTGCCGAATGACGCACAGGAAGACCAAGGAATATCCAGACAACAATTATACATCGCTTGGATCCACTAGGCATACAAAGCTGAAATCGAAGGCCACGGTTGAAAAATAGAACCGAGAGGAAGCTTGCAATTGAAGAGGATATACAGCCAAATCATTCCAATTCAACATACCACAATCAAAATACTAATAGCCACGGTTGAAAAAAAATTCATATCACTTCCGGATGACAGACCGAAAATAGAGGAGGGACCGAATCAGAACCACCGAACCAGAATCATAAGCAAGAAGCTGATAGATCAATGAATGGAGGAAATACGAACAGAATTTTGGGCAATCACCAGAGAGAGCTCACCGGGCGAACTGAAGAACGAAGATTGGAGACAGAGGATGGATGGATCGGAGCTTCCTTTGGTTTTGGCGAGCCGAGAAACGCACGACCACCCCTGTTTTCGCGAGGCCAGGACGATCTCACCGGTGTCGAGTTTCAGAGCAGCGACGGCGAACACTCGAGCTGGCGAAGAGGCGAGCTGGCGATGAAGCACGGCCGAAGACGCGACCCGATGATGAAGCGGCGAAGAGACGAGCTGATGATAAGGGCCGAAGGGTCGAGCTTCGAGCTGAGTCCGATCGTTCGGCGAAGAGGAGGAGTGTCGGCCAGCGAAGAAGAGAGGGATCTGGGAAATTGCCTACCGGAGCCGTTGCTGAGGGTCGACCTTGAGCTGAGAGCAATGGTCGAGCTGAGGAGCAAGCACAGTGTGTCGAGCTGAGGAGCTGGTCGAGCTGAGGAGCAAGCACAGTGTGTCGAGCGGAGGAGCTGGTCGAGCTGAAGAGAAGAGTGTCGGCCAGCGAAGAGAAGAGAAGGATGTCTGAATTCAAAGTGTCGGCCAGCTCGAGAAGGTCTGGGGTGTTTTTGGAATCACCAGTAGGCGTGCCCGATTTTTTCCCACAAGCGACAATTTCCAGCTTCTGGTGAAACCATGGTTTCACCGGGTGAAACCATGGTTTCAGGTGAAACCAAGGTTTGCAATTTTTTGGGGCCTGTTTGGGTAGCATTTTCCCCAAACCATGGTTTGGGCCCCCAAACCATGGTTTGGGGTGCTACCCAAACAGGCCCTAAAGAATTATTCATGTTGAATTGCTTAATTATGTTATTAATAGATATAAAATTTATAACAAAATATAATTTCTTCCATATGTATAGTTTGCCTTTTAGATTATGCTATATATTATATTGTTGACAAAAAGTTTTGTTTTTGTTTTTTTTTGTTTTGAAAATGGCTTGAAGACTTGAAAACCCGTGCCTATTGGTTCCGGTTCTTCTGAAAGACAAAAACCGAACCAAAAAAGCGCGGTTTTTTCCCCCAACGCAATAAGTAGCCAGCAAATCACACTATTTTTGGTCTCCCGCCATATTCAAAAGCTTCAATTTTCTCATTCCAATTGGCTTCACCGCTCTGTTCAAACTTCAAATTCCGAAATCCCAAAATGAAAATTTCACTCCCTTCGCTCCCTCTCAATTTCCAAACCTCTATTTCCTTTCCTTCTCTTTCTCTCAATCCTACCTTTCCTTCCCTGCCTTTGAATCTGCCGTCAAACCCCACAAACAAACCCAGAAACCCCTCCTCCCATAGAAAAAATGGATACCAATTATCATGGCTTACCTCCCCTCAAGAGATTCAGACTCATCCAACAGCAACAAGAGCTCCAGAATCAACAGCCACATCACAATCACGGTCGCAAAACTCAGGATGAAGGCGCCAGTGTCTCTGGCTCAACCTTACCGGCAAAGAAGCGTAAAGAATCTCGAGATTCAACATTTCTTTCTGATTCGGCAGTTTCAGTTTGTGTCAACACTTATTCTTTACCGGCTAAGAAACGGGTATGGGCTCTTCAACCTGATTTTGGTTCCGATGTCGGCGTTTCTTCTATTGACCTTAATGTTGAATACAAACCATCGATTGAGGAAGAAGTAAAATCAATAGATGATGAAGCCAATGATACTGAAATTCCACCTGTAGCAAATTCCCTCGATGTTGAAAATGAGAATGAGAATGAAATTCAAATACTGAAGATGTTGATGAAGATGATGAGGATGGGATTGTATGTGCTGTATGTCAAAGCACAGATGGGGATCCATCAGATCCAATTGTTCTCTGTGATGGGTGTGATCTAATGGTTCACGCCGCATGCTATGGCAATCCGCTTGTAAAAGGAATTCCAGAGGGTGATTGGTTCTGTGAAACATGCAGAGTTTCATCGTCTTCTGAAACTAAGAATGATGATGAAAACAACATTTCTTGTTGTCTCTGTCCTGCAAAGGAAGGGGCTATGAAACCCACTGTAGATGAGCGGTGGGCCCATATTGTGTGTGCTCTTTTAGTGCCTGAGGTGTTTTTTAAGGACCCAGAAGGAAGAGAAGGGATTGATTGCTCAAAGGTTCCCAAGAAGAGGTGGTCTGAGAAGTGTTACATTTGTGAATCTTCAAATGGGTGTGCCATTGTGTGTTCTGAGATTAAGTGTCCTTTGGCATTTCATGTCACCTGTGGATTGAAAGAGGATCTTAGCATCGAGTATCGTGAAGGGAAGAAGAGTACTACCATCGTCGCTGGTTTCTGCAGAGGCCACACTGAATTATGGAGAAAGGTACATTTTTTAAAGGAAACTTTATGTTTCTTTTGTCGAGCTAGGATATAAGTTTGGCGTGCTAATAGTATACAAGTTTGAATTTTGATAGATAATTTATCTTCTAAATGATTTAGCTTTTTGTTTGTATGATACTATTTCTTCAGATTTTTAAGTCAAACTTGACAATCCATTAACCTTCAATGTAATTTATATAATATATAATTTGACATCATTGATTCATGCTTAGGTTATTTGGAATAATAAGCTGATATTTCCTAAAGTGACTAAGTTTAGCATCTTACATGTGTTTAGTGTATTTATATCAATGCGATGTACGCAGTGATTCAGAGTTAAGTCAACCAATTGAAATAGAAGCAAGTTGAAACCAATCTGCCTTTCTTTTTGTCCTTTGGGCCAGGATTAAGCGACTGTTAAATTTGACAATAACGTGGTGGATGAAGATGGGACAGAAATATGAAATCAGATCACTTAAAACATGATGATGACAACCATCTTGGATACTATCTAGAGGGTCTAAATCAAGATTTTCATTGAACTAGACTTGTGAAAGATATTTTTAATTTCCCTTCATTTGCGATATTATCAACGAATCCTCATGATCTATCTTATCTGTAAATGATTCTGATTCTATTTGCAGCAACAGCTATCTGGAAAATACAAAATCGTTGCTGAAGAAAACAAGTAGCAATACTAGTCACGTGCAAGTCCTGTGGTATTGTACCAATTTGAATGGTGCTAGTCGGTGTCCACAAACTTCACTGTTTGTTACTTCTTTCAGTTAGGCTTTTGACACGAATTTCACATTTAGGTGCTTCAGATTTCAACTTTCATTTGATCCTGTAGTTCTCTAGATGGGTATCTTTTGTGAACAATGATTCTCTGCAATGACTGTGCGATTTAGTAAAGAGAGAGACAATGAGATTTATTTGACATGTAAGCTTTTGACTGATCTGTTTCTTTTTAATGGGCCTGTAGTTTATTAGACAGTCTCTTGAGCTTGTTAAATAAAGTCTGGCTTCTGGCTTGTAGCTTGACTTGATCTCAATGTAACTACATTTTTGTTGAATGTTGAAAACCAACCTTTTGATTTACATTTCGGAGATTAATTCTAACGCTACTGAAAGATGGTGGGCAAGCTGCAGTGTTATTCATTGATGTGCAAGAATTTAATTTTATCTTTTTAATATCGTGGCCTGGTTTTATCTTGTTATAAAACTAAATGTTAATTAGCATAAAATGTAAAATTTTTTAACAAGCTTAATATGTTGTGGAACATATTTTCAATAAAAGATGGCTTTAATTGGTAAGGATTTGGTTTGTAATTTATAAAGTTATAGGTTCAAATCTTGTTGACATGATAATTTTGTTGGTATGATATATAAGTATTTTTATAAGTATTTTTTGAATCCTAAACCACATATACAGGCTCTTAATCACAAATTTAAGCCTTCTGTGTCAAAAGGCACTCATTTTAAACTTTTTTTTTGGTCATCCCGTCTATATTTGTAAAAAGTCAAATTTACATTTTTACAAAAATTAAGAGAGATTCTTAGGGTCACAAGGTTAGAAGGTAAGGGTGTGCATGGACTGGACCGGGTTTGTTATCAACCCGAAGTCTGGTCCAGTAAAGACCTCGGGCTGAAAAAAACAGCCCGAGGTCTGGTCCAGTCCAGTGCCAACCCGAGATCGGGTTGGACTGGACTTGGTCCTCTGGACTGTCTGGACTGGACTAGGCAGTCCAGAGCTAATTTTAATTTTTTTAAAAAAAAAATTTCTTCAATAGAAGGCAAGATTGTAACTTATTATATAAAATTTTGCACATATTTTAATTCAAAATTTATCAAATTTGATCATTCCTTTTCAATTTCCCAATGAAGTTATGTTTTATTAATTAATTCTCATCAATATAGATCTTAAATTGTAGAAAATATATATGCATGCTCATTACTTTGAAAGTTAACAAATAAATCTTAATTATTTGAATAGATAAAAAATTTATATAGAAAAATTAAATCAAATTAAAATTATATAAATAATAATTTAAAAAAATCGGGCTAGACTGGACTGGACCAACTGGTCTGAGGGGTCAGTCCCTAGTCTAGTCCAGCCCAATGAGACCAGTCCGGTCCAGTCTGGTCCAGTCTTGTTTCGGGCCAATTTTTTTGGACCGGACTGGACCGGGTTTGTTCGGGTTGGACCGGACCATACCGGACCACCGGGTTTTTGCACAGCCCTATTAGAAGGCATGACAATTTTAAGTGATCCTTAACTCTAATAACCTCATCCGATTAGCACAAAACAAATACAAGAAACGAAACTCCACAACGAGTCATGAACACCCTTGTTCACTCATTTGATTTAGTATCGAATAGGGAGACTAGAACTGTGTAAAAACCCGATGGTCTAGTATGATCCAGTCTAACCTGAGCAAACCCGGTCCAGTCCAATTCAGAAAAAAAATTAGCTCAAAACAAGACTGGACCAGACTGCACTGGACTAGTCTCATCAGGCTGGACTAGACTAGAGATTGGCTCCTTGGACCAGTTGGTCCAGTCCAGCCTGGTTTTTTCAAATTATTATTTATATAATTTTAATTTGATTTAATTTTTCTATATAAGTTTTTTGTCTATTCAAATAATTAAGATTTATCTATTAACTTCCTAAGTAATGAGCATGCGTATATATTTTCTACAACATAAGATCTATATTAACGAGGATTAATTAACAAAACATGACATTATTGGGAAATTGAAAAGGAATGATCAAATTTGATGAACTTTGGATTAAAATATGTGCAAAATTTTATATAGTAAGTTACTCCCTCCGTTCCTTATTATAAGAGACATTTGGTGCTTATGGCATGTTCCTATATATAAGAGACACTTAAAAGTTGTCTCTAGTTTTTTGTGTTGATTTCCTATTTTACCCATATTTATTGTCTCCAACTCACACTCTCTCTCCTTCCCACTTCTCTTTCTTTTAATAAATTACCATTGTTCTCTCTCATGTTCTCTCTCCTTATTAATGAGGGTATTTTTGGAAAAAAATTATACTTTTTACATATTAATTGTTCTTAACTAATTTTAACTGTTTTTTTATCAACGTAATTCGGTTATTCGTCTCTTATAATAAGGAACGGAGGGAGTACAATCTTGCCTCCTATTGAAGAAAATTTTTTTTAAAAAAAATTAAATTTAGTCCTGGATTGCCTGGTTTAGGCAGTCTAGAGGACCAAGTCCAGTCCAATTCGACCTCGGGTTGGTACTGGATTGGACCAAATCTCGAGCTATCTTTTTCTGCCCTAGGTCTTTACTGGACCACACTTCCAGTTGATAATAAACCCGGTCCAGTTTGGTCCATATACACCCTTAAGGAAAACTATGTCAATTTTGTAATAGTTTTTTCCGTTCAAAATTTTATAATAATATTTGCACTCATAAAGTCTCTCAAGTTTATCCGTGCTGTATTATATTTTATTTTTGGGGAATGGGACTTTCAAATCAATAGGGCAAACTCTAATGAACCTACAAATTCCAGAAGACCAACCGAATGCCCAAGCCTTGTTAAAGTCTTTAAACATCACCGGCACGTGCCAAAGTTATTTGTATTCATTTTCGCGTATGAAAAAATGTATTATTTGGATAAATTTTTTACACTTATTCTTATTTAAGAAAGGGTATTAATAAAAAATACGTTATACATTTTCACCATTTTTTTATTATAATAAAGAGGGATAAAATTTAAAAAAAATGTTATTAATCACCTTATAAGTAATTTATATTTAGAAATAAATTTTGCTCCAATGACTTGCTTTTTAAGCCATGCATCTCAGAATTTTGTTGTCACGTACTGAACTAGTGAACTTCAATTATGTGTCAAAGACAAGAGCATTGGAATCAAGAAAAGACTTAAAATTTATTAACTTTATCTAAAACTTAACAATAATTTTAATTTCGCTTTTCTTGAACTTATCATTTCAGAAGTCAAAGAGAAAAGTTTGAAAAACACAAACCAACATTGAAAAATATATATATATATATATATATATAAAAGATCGAGCAATATGTGAAAAATGCAATAAATATCCTCATATAATATGGTGTAAAAAAGAATCTATATAATGTATGCATATTTTTTTTCTATTGTATTATCGTTTCATTTATATCATTTTTTTATACAAAGAAAAGATTTGTTTCATTTATACTCCCTCCGTTTCTTATTATAAGAGACATTTGATGCCTATGGCATGTTCCTATATATAAGTGACACTTACAAGTTGTCTCTACTTTTTTGTGTTGATTTACTATCTTACCCATATTTATTATCTCCAACTCACACTCTCTCTCCCTCTCACTTCTCTTTCTTTTAATAATTTAATTGTTCTCTCTCATGCTCTCTCTCCTTATTAATGAGGGCATTTTTGGAAAAAAAATTATACTTTTTACATATTAATTGTTCTTAACTAATTTTAACTGTTTTTTTGATCAACGTACTTCGGTTATTTGTCTCTTATAATAAGAAACGGAGGGAGTATCATTTACAAAAGCTAGCTAGTTGGGATTATCCACTCGTTCGGTGTCATCTAGCCTCATTAACGCCGGCTTTTATGACACCTAATTAACGCTCCGAGCTTAGAGAGACTCTCATCCGTGGTGAATGAACAAGCACATAATAACTAATTTACTGCAATTAAAAAAATTAGTTAAATTAATTATTTGTAATAAAAGTTCTTTCAAATATTCCCTTTAATAATTTGCATTGAAAACTTCCGTTGGTAAAAAAAAAAAACTTATTTTAACATTTGTAATCAATTTAAGTGAAAAAAAAACAAACTATTTCTAATACTTAATATAAGACCCAGTCGACTACTTTGAGAAAATTAAGAAAATTATTAAAGTACTTGTATTTATTATTTTTTTTCAAACTAATTTTTCTCACTTATGATATATAATTTAATGATATACATAAGTATTTTAGAGAGATCTGGTGATTTATTTTTTTGCTAACGAGATCCTGCAATATATACTATAGTTAATTTAGTAACTTTCTTAATATCTCTAAATTAGTTAATAGAACCAGAAGTGGTAGAAGACACATTGAGATCTTACATCTAATATCAAAATAAACCTTCCGACTAGCTGTCACATTTAAGACCGGACCAGAGAAAGAATATACAATGCCAACTCACACTCTTAATTATACTTAAAAATAACTCAATCAACAATCTACGATATCGCAACTATAAACTTCACCTCTTGACATCAATTTAAAAAAGAAAAAGGTATAAATAATGGGAGAATGGGTTTTTCAGAGAAGTTTTCTAAATCCTACCAAACACGGCCTTTAAGTTTGTCCAAATTCAGATCGAGTTATAAACTTAGTCGGTTTTGCATTCAGAAGTCAGAACTTACCATCTAAAAGCAGCCCAGTGCCCACGGCATTGACAATTTTTCCTTTTCCCTTTATTTTAAAATCCTAATCATTAATATCAAACAACTCTTCATAAGATACGTACAAGTAAAATATTTGTACATTTTGGACTTTCTTTCATTAATAATCTCGTTATTTTCATCCCTATAAATTAAATACCTTATCCTTTCTTCTTCTCCACAAGACACAACTCAATCCAGCATACGATACGATGAGGATGGCTTCAAGTTCAGTCCTATGCCTTGCAATTGCATGGCTTCTCATCATGATGATGGCCGCGTCAGCCCTATCCCAGTCCGATGAAAACGCCACCGTGCTCGACACAAACCGCCGTCCTGTCCAATACGGCCTTGAGTACTACATCAAGCCCGCCATAACCGACTCTGGCGGCCGCTTCACCCTCATCAACCGCAACAGCTCCTGCCCTTCCTACGTCGGCCAGCTGAACACCGACGTCGGAGAAGGCCTGCCGGTGACCTTCATGCCTCAAGCCGGAGAAGACAAAGTCGTGAGGGTGAATAGGGACTTCAGGGTGGCGTTCTCCGCCGCCACAACATGTATTCAATCAACACTATGGAAAGTGGGAAACAGGGACCCGAAGAGTGGAAGAAGACTTATCGTGACTGGTAGGGCCCTTAGTCGTCGTGATTATAGTAACTTTTTTAGGTTTGTGGAGACACAGTTCGAAGGAATCTACAATATTCGATGGTGTCCTACGGAAGTGTGTCCTACTTGCAGGTTTGATTGTGGGTTTGTTGGTGGATTACGCGAGAATGGGAAGATTCTGGAGGCTTTAGATGGTTTTGTTCTTCCTGTCGTGTTTGAGAAAAGGACATAATCGTCATGATCATTATAGTTTTCTGAATCAAAGTTGTTAAAACATTTCGATGATTATTATAAGTGGAATAAGTATTGGGGCCTGTTAATTCATCCCTATAGGACAATAAGAGGATGAAACAAATATGCTCTGTTTGTTTTAATTGTTGCATATCATAATAAAGATTTAAATTATCTTTTATTGTCTACGATAAGCTAAAGTATACGTTTGATCTTATAAACTCATATCAGCTTTTAGTCTAGTTTATTAAGTTTATAAGTGCAATTTTAGTCTCTTAATTTTAATACTGTTAGTCTTATTAATCCAAATGCTTATTTAGTGAATTTCAATGGCGGCACTGTAATTAAATGCAAACATGTTAATCTTTAATTTAAAATTTGTAAATTGAAAACTAGTTAAAATAAACCTATTAAAAGATGCCATTTCTTCTAAACTTTTAACATCAACAACTCATCTTTCAAAATAAAACAAGTTTACTTATTATATATTAAGACTCAACTAGAATTAATTTTAGTAGAACGTAAAACAAGTTTTATGAGAATTTGTCTTTTTGTTTCAATAAGTGTCTAAGCAATGGGATTAATAATGATAATTCTCTAGTTAATATCAACTGCGCAAATAAATCAAGTTTTTTGTAATTAAAATATATTTAAATCATTAAGTTATTAGTTATGTTATTATATAAATTATTGTAAGATTATATTTTAAAGTGATAAAATTTGAAAATAACGATAGAAAATTTCGCGATGAGAATTTTATGAATGAAAATTAGCAGTGAAATTTTTACGCTATCAAATCCGTCGTGAAATTGTAACCAGTTATTTTTAGAGTTAGTCACTGAAATTACCTTCTGAAAAATTCTTTTCTTATTAACCAAAACATTAATCATTTTAATAATTTACTAAATCTTCGATTAAAAACCAAAAGACTGCACATCTCATTGCTAAAAATTCTGTGACTTGAAAATTTTATTCCATCACTAAGTTAGGAATGAAAACGTTTCATTGCTGAAATTTATGACTAAACTAATTACGAAATAGAATTTCATCACTAATTTCGCTAATAATTATCTGTTTTTTTTTTTTGGTAGTGTCACTTTTATATCCTTTCTCTTCTTCGTTTTCTCTTGGCATCTCCCTTTATCTCTTCTAATAGAAATTGGGTTTGCCATAACAGTTTGAGGGAAACATCAGTATGCCTAGTCCACCTTTTTCTTTGGATAATCACTTAAAGAAAAATACTTTGATACAAATTAAAATAAAATTACTTTCATATATTTATTTTAAAATCGTAAAATCACTCTTGAAAAGTTATTCCAAACAATTTTTAAGTTGGTGCTCCGAGTCATCTAGACAAAATGAATCCAGATACATCCGGAGATTCTTTTGAAATTGAAACTCTGTCGGTTTTGCACTCAGAGTCAGAACAATGACATAACCGACTCCGGTGGCCGCTTCACCCTCATCAACCGCAACAGCTCCTGCCCTTCCTACGTCGGCCAGCTGAACACTGACGTCGGAGAAGGCCTGCCGGTGACCTTCATGCCGCACGCCGGAGAAGACAAAGTCGTGAGGGTGAATAGGGACTTCAGGGTGGCGTTCTCCGTCGCCACAACATGTGTTCAATCAACACTGTGGAAAGTGGGAAACAGGGACCCGAAGAGCGGAAGAAGACTTATCGTGACTGGTAGGGCCCTTAGTCGTCGTGATTATAGTAACTTTTTTAGGTTTGTGGAGACACAGTTCGGAGGAATCTACAATATTCGATGGTGTCCCACGGAAGTGTGTCCTACTTGCAGGTTTGATTGTGGGTTTGTTGGTGGATTACGCGAGAATGGGAAGATTCTGGAGGCTTTAGATGGTTTTGTTCTTCCTGTCGTGTTTGAGAAAAGGACATAATCGTCATGATCATTATAGTTTTCTGAATCAAAGTTGTTAAAACATTTCGATGATTACTATAAGTGGAATAAGTATTGGGGCCTGTTAATTCATCCTTATAGGATGATAAGAGGATGAAACAAATAGGTTCTGTTTGTTTTATTGTTGCATATAATAATAAAGATCTAAATTATCTTTATAGCCTACGATAGGCTAAATTATACGTTTGGTCTTATACACTCACCAACTTTTAGTCTAGTTTAATTTGTTAAGTTTATAAGTGCAATTTTAGTTTTTTAATGTTAATACCGTTAGTCTTCTTAATCCAAATGCTTGTTCAGTGAATATCAATGGTGGCATTGTAATTAAATGCAAGCACGTTAATCTTTAATTTAAAATTTATAAAGTGTTAAAAATAAACTTATTAAAAGGTGCCATTTCATCTAAACTTTTAATATCAACAACTCATTTTTCAAAATAAAACCAGTTTACTTAGTATATATTAAGATTCAACTGGAATTAATTTTAATAAAAGATAAAACTTGGTGAGAATTTGTCTTTTTGTTTCAATAAGTGTCTAAGCATGAGATTAATGATGACAATTCTCTAGTTAATATCAGCCGAGAAAATGTATCAATTTTTTTAATTAAAATATATTTAAATTATTAAGCTATTAATTATGTTATTATATAAATTGTTGTAAAATTATACTTCAAAGTGATAAAATTTGAAAATAACGATAGAAAATTTCATGATGAGAATTTGATGAATGAAAATTAGCAATGAAATTTTTACGTTATCAAATCCGTCGTGAAATTGTAACCAGTTATTTTTAGAGTTAGTCACTGAAATTACATTATCAAAAATTCTCTTATTAACCAAAACGTTAATCATTTTAATAATTTACTAAATCTTCGATTAAAACCAAAAGACTACACATCTCATTGCTAAAAATTCTGTGACTTGAAAATTTTATTCCATCACTAAGTTAGGAATGAAAACGTTTCACTGCTGAAATTTATGACTAAACTAATTACGAAATAGAATTTCATCACTAATTTCGCGAATAATTATCTGTTTTTTTTGTTTTTTTTTTGTAGCGTCACTTTTATATCCTTTCTCTTATTTATTTTCTCTTGGCATCTCCCTTTATCTCTTCTAATCGAGATTGAGCTTGCCATAACAGTTTGAGGGGAACATCGGTATTGGGTTGATGGTTCATACCTAATCCACCTTTTATGGATTGGGGTCCAAGCCCATTTGGTTTGTACCCAAAAAACAAAGAAAAAATATGAGGGTAAAGACTTGTGTTCATTTATTTTCCTCCCGGTGTTGCGTGATGGAAATCTAAGGGGTGTTTGGGAAGCGGATTATTACTTCAAAAAAAATATTTTCATACAAATTGAGATAAAATTACTCTCATATATTTATTTCAAAATCATAAAATTACTCCTAAAAAAATTATTCCAAACAATTTCCAAGTAGGTGCTCCGAGTCATCTAGATAAAATGAATCCCGATACACCCGGAAATTCTTTTGAAATTAAAACTTTGTTGGTTTTGCACCGAAAGTCAGAACAATGACATGAATGATTTATCATCACAAAGCAGCCCACGTGGTTGAAAATTTTCCCATCCCTTTTATATTTTAACACATCCTAATAGTTATATATCAAAGAACTGTTTTACAAGTGAAATACTTGTACATTTTGGACTTTAGTTCATTAATAATCTCTCCATTTTCATCCCTATAAATACTTCATGACTTGTGTCCTTTCTTCTCCACAAAACACAATCAAACCCACATCGATTCAAAGAATCAATATGAAGTTGGTTTCAAGTAGTTCAGCCCTATGCCTTGCATGGCTTCTCATCATGATGATGGCCACGTCGGCCCTATCCCATTCAGATGACAACGCCGCCGTGCTCGACACAGATCGCCGTCCTCTTCAACGTGGCCTTGAGTACTACATCAAGCCTGCCATAACGGACGTCGGCGGCCGCTTCACTCTCATCAACCGCAACAACTCCTGCCCTCTCTACGTCGGCCAGGTGAACACCGACGCAGGGGAAGGCCTGCCGGTGATCTTCACTCCGTATGCCGGAGAAGACAACACCGTGAAGGTGAACAGGGACTTCAGGCTGGCGTTCTCGGCAATCACGCTATGCATTCAATCAACAGAATGGAAGGTCGGCGAGAATGACACGACGAGTGGAAGAAGACTTATCGTGACTGGTAGTCCCAGTGGTGATCGTGATTATAGTAACTATTTTAGGATTGTGGAGACACAGTTCGGAGGAATCTATAATATTCAATGGTGTCCTACAGAAGTGTGTCCTATTTGTAGGTTTGATTGTGGGACTGTTGGTGGATTACGGGAGAATGGGAAGATTCTTGGGGCTTTGGATGGTAATGTTCTTCCTGTTGTGTTTGAGAGGAAGGCATAATCGTCATTATCATTATAGTTCTGTGAATCGAAGCTGTTAAAATATTTGGGTGATTATTGTAATAATTAAGCAGATTCATCCGTATAGCATAACAAGAGGATGAAACAAATATGTTATGTTATTTTAGTGTTGCAGACAATAATAAGGTTGTCTTTACTTTATGATCAATGATATAATAGTGACGGTCTATATGAAATTTTAGTCATGATTATATATTAATGGTTAGGTAACAGTTTCTTACAATTATAAACAAAATTGGATTATTTTATTTGTAATCATGCTGTCAAGTCAAGAAAATTAATTAATTTGGTAATGGATTGTCTCATGCATGATAATGACATTATAGTAATATATTTGTACTGTTCATTATTAATTTAAACTAATGACAATTGACGGATAGGTACGTACGTTTACTTGCTACTTGTTTTTCCTATGCTAGAAAAATAAATTCCTTGTCAAATGAAATCAATTGAGATGATATAATTTTTTTTGCAACTCATCTTCCACCATACATATTTACTCATCATACTTCTCCGATGCTTGTTTAGACTTTAGCTTCTTTTTTCTTTTTTTTATGTGTTCATTATGATATTTATTAGGATCTATTAATAATTAGTATCAGAGTTGGTTATAATTAAGCGTCTGTTCTTGCATTTTCAAAACTTTGAAAATTACTCAATATTTTTTGTTTATTAACTGTATAGGCTGTATTAAAATCATGCCTGTAGTAAAACTTATTAGCTAGTCGCTTGCCTGTGAATGTTTTGGCCTTGAAAAAAGCCTAAAATCATACATTATTGTTTTGCTTTTTGCCTTTTTCTGTCGAGTGCGACTGTGCGTGCGTGTGTGTGTTATCATCCGGTACCTTACGCCTTTTCTGAATCCCAATATTAGATCTCCGAGCAACTAACTAATTCGGTTTGGGATGGTGGCTCATTTATCATCCGAATGTACACATGACGACATACTTATGTCAGTACATGCTTGGTTTTGTGCCATCTATTGAAAATCCATTCTTATTTACAATGGACCTCTTTTAAGCTTCATAGAACCTGATATTTGGGCTTTTTTTTTCCCTGCAATTTGTTGGGTTTCATATCTCTTCGATGTTTTAGTCTTCTTGGCCATTTCCCTTTTTTTTTTTGTTAAATTAATGGGATTTAATTTAAACTTAAAAGCTCAAATTGAGCTCATGAAATTGGGAGGTTATGTCTCCAAAAAAAACTTTCGGCTATTTTTGGTTCTACGGAGTGGGGTGAGAGGGAGGACATGTACGTACTTATAAGTTATCATCATTATGCCCTTATATTTTGATTTTATTTTTCTTAATTTATTCATCATAAACGCAAATATTAATCACGCTGAAGTCTCAAGTTTATGCTGGCAAAAAAATTAAGCCTGAAGTTCATTTATAATTTATTATATTACCTCCGGTTCAAATTATAAGACCTCGTTTGTAGATTATAAAGAGGTCTTGTAATTAGGACTATAGGTAGTATTATATTTTTTGGGGATTGACGCTTGGGATCAAAAGGGGAATTACACTGATATATGTGAACCAACAAAATCCAGAATGCTTCAAGGGCCTTTGAACATCATCTTACGTCACATAAATTTCCAACCCATACACCTCAGAATTTTATCGTCCCAAAGGCAAAATCCTTCAAGCAACATAGAGGAAAAATTGGATACATATACCAATACATATATATATATATATGTATGTATGTATGTATGTATGTAATATAATATCAAGTTAATTGACCTTGGTGCCACGGAAAAGTCTCAAGCTTATCTAAAAGTACGTAGTCTATGTTTTATTGTTACAAAGGAAAAGTCTATTGAAATTAAAGTGGTGTTTATCCAGACATGAATGCAATTTTTTTCTCTCACGTAGTATTTTCAACTGGTCGTTTATTAGTGTGTATCAAAGGCATTCCCCAACTGATACTTAACATTCTTTTCGAGACTTGGAGATTAATTAATTAGTGGGCTTTGCTCTTTTTCAACTGAATTGAAACCCTAATGATGTGCACAAGGGATTCAATTATTTACCAACTGTGCTATATATACTTTGTTAATTATTTCAACACTTTTTGAATGTGGATTTAGATACAAGTACACAAGTATTAAGTCCGCTTAGAATAGCTTATAAGTAACTTTTTAATTGTGATTTACAGGATACAAGGTACGTATGTGAGATGAGTTTTGTCTCAATTTATGTGAAATGTGTTTATAAGTATTTTTCATCACTATCCCAAACGAGCCCTTAATTAATTGGCTTATGCCTTAACATTTTAAATGTGTGTGTGATTTGCTTTTAAATGTTCTCCCTCATAAAAACTACTCCATGAATAACTCTACATTATCCAAACTATAAATTAACATGTTGAAATTAATCTAAAAACGAAAACCCTAAATAGGTCAAAAGGTTGAGTTTTTCATTACAAAAAAAGTATAACTTTGGATTTTCATCCAAAGTCAAAGGTGTAATGGACACAAGCGTACGGCTCATCAAAATTAGCTCACGGCACATGCAAAACTCGTCTACTTGTCAATTAATATATCAAAGTCGACGTAAGGGAACGTACAAGTAAGATATTTGTACATCTTGGACTTTAACTCATCAACCTCGTTATTTTCAACCCTATCCATATCCCTATAAATACCTTAATTATCCTCTCTTCTATGCAAAACACAAATCAATCCAACATATCCATAACCAAAAACCCTCCCTTTTTTTTAAAGAATCAATATGAAGTTGGCTTCAAGTTCAGTTCTATGCCTTGCATGGCTTCTCATCACGATGATGGCCACGTCATCCCTGTCCCAATCCGATGATAACGCCTCCGTGCTCGACACAAACCGCCGTCCTCTTCAACGTGGCCTTGAGTACTACATCAAGCCCGCCATAACCGACTCCGGCGGCCGATTCACTCTCATCGACCGCAACAACTCCTGCCCTCTCTACGTCGGCCAGGTGAACACCGATGCAGGGGAAGGCCTCCCGGTGATCTTCACGCCGTATGCCGGAGAAGACAACATCGTGAAAGTGAACAGGGACTTCAAGGTGGTATTCTCGGCTGGCACGATATGTGTTCAATCAACAGAATGGAAGGTCGGCGAGAGGGACACGACGAGTGGAAGAAGACTTATCGTGACTGGTGGTACCAATGGTGGTCGTGATTATAGTAACTATTTTAGGATTGTGGAGACACAGTCCGAAGGAATCTATAATATTCAATGGTGTCCTACCGAAGTGTGTCCCACTTGTAGGTTCGATTGTGGGACTATCGGTGGATTACGTGAGAATGGGAAGATTCTGGGGGCTTTGGATGGTAATGTTCTTCCTGTTGTGTTTGAGAGGAGGGCATAATCGTCATTATTGTTATAGTTTTCTGAATCGAGTTGTTTAGCATTTGGGTTACTGTTGTTGGAAGGAATAATTGGGGTCTATTGATTCATCCTAATTAGCAGAATAAACGGATGAAAAGAAGATATCATGTCTTTTGTTGTAATAATGTAGCATAATGAAGCTCCAAATTGTCTTTTATGAGATACAGTGGTGATGTTTAATTTAAAATTTTTTCATCATTTTAATATTTAAGTGGTTTTATAAATTTTCTTCGAAGTATAAAAAAGGGAAAAAGACATACAAAGACCTTTGATTCTAAATCATACCTTAAATTAAAATGGGATTTTAGACACCTCAATTGAAAAATTAAACTCCCACCTTTTCTGAGTGCTTTGGGATTTCTTCGTTTAGGGGAATTGATTTGGGTTTTGTGAATGTTGAACGTATTTATTTGCGTCTTTATCCTATAAAAAATTGAATTATTTTATTTAGGAAAAATTTCATATAGAGCCACCTGAAATTGGAAAAATATCAAATCTGGTTGGCAAATTCAATAAATCTCTACCTGGTTGATAAAGACAATTTGAGATTTGTGAATGTTAGGTATTTTACCACATTATGCCTCACTTTTCAATTTAGTAATTTATTAGTTCCCATTAGTGATTCACTGAAAAAATTTTACAATAAATTATGACTGAAGCTTTTGCGCTGTCATTTGTCATTTGTCAGACGTGAAATATGTCACTTTTTTCTGTTCAAAACAGAAGTAAAAATAAGGATATTTATTGCGTCTCTCTCCCGAAGGGTATTATTGCACAGGGTGAAATGAACCTGCCCTTCTCTTCTCTTGGGCTCTTGGCACAATAGGGTCGAGACGAGATCTGTTGTGTGTTTGTGAAGCATAATCAACAAATTATAATTATTACTTTATCTTGGTTATAGTTCAATGATGGTTAGAAGAAAAAATGAAAGAACATGAAGATGATGAAGAAGAAGAAGCACTCTTGATCGCTTCTCGCCGATCATTCGGCCATCGTACTTCCCCTCATCGTGCAAAAGTCTGACCCCATCATCTGGGATTCCTCCGTTTTCTGAGCAACAAAGCAGGGTTGAACTTTCCAGAGAAAATTCCAGAAGGAAAACACAAAGAGGAGAGATAGGAGCGGTGCATTTGAAGTTGAAGCTTTTAGACCCATTTTGCTCTCTTCTCTTCAAAGTCTCTTCCATTACCTAACGCCATATCTTCAAAATCAAAAAAGGATCACCTGCCCATTTTTCAATCGAACTCAAGCTCAAGACATTCGAATACTTATGTATGAAGCTAGAAACCTGGGGTGTGTTGTCTCATGCATGGCCTGTCGTCGATAGATGTTTTCCTTTTCGGGGTTTTCCTCCCTTTGTCAGAAAGATGTTGTGTTGGAGGAAGAACAATTCTACCCTGATCCACTTTTCATCCTCATTATAAGATCTCATTTATAGTCTACAAATAAGATCTTATAACAAAGACGGGAGGTAGTAGTATACTCAGACCAAATCACTCGCATTCGTCAAAAGAGAAAGAAGAACACATGAGCTGACAAAATGGAGGGATGAAGTTGGACCTTCGAGTTTTCTGTTTTCTAGCAGCAGTAGTGACTAGTGAGTT